GTTGTGAGAACGCGGCATCGTTCTAGAGAGACGATTTATTTAGACACCGAATTTCTAAAATCGGTCCGGAGTTGTTTTTGTTTTGTGTTGATTCCATTGGCTGCTGCAAAGGCGGCGCGCTCCCTTTGAAGGTTGTGCGGCTGATGAGATGTGTAAAACAGAACAAAAACATTCTAGATTTGAAGTTTTCGTGACTGCAAGGATCCATACTCTTTGTTTTTTTTTCGGTAAAGTCACGTAGGTATAAAATGAAATAAAAAATGAGAACAACTCAATTAAATCACGACGTTTCGGGCTCAACACAAGCGTCCGTCGTCAGGAGGGGACAAACACAGCGAAAACAGTTTGACATATTCTTAGGTTTTTTCGGTAAAGTCACGTAGGTGATTTTTATTTAATTTTTATTTTATTTTACTTTTATTAATAAAAATTTTTACCTACGTGACTTTACCGAAAAAACTTAAGAATATGAATCCTTGCAGTCACGAAAGCTTCAAATCTAGTTTGACATATCTCAGCATCTCTGTCTTCGCTGCGTTTGTCCCCACCTGATGACGGACGCTTGTGTTGCGCCCGAAACGTCGTGATTTAATTAAGTTGTTTTCATTTTTTTTACCTCCGTGACTTTACCGGAAAAAAACAAAGAGTAAGAAGAAGAAAACTTTACAAAAAATTGTTACGTGAAGGGAGATATATGGGGAAAGGAGAGTTGTCGACGGATCATTTATTTGCTCATCTCGGGGATGTTGCGATGACGTTGTCACGAGAGAATTGCTACTCCTTGCAACAACGAAACGGCGTCCAGCTCCCGACGGCTGCTTGCCAACCCACACAGCAGCAGCTGCTTGACAAGACCCGGGGGCTCTGTTAGCAACGGGGACTTTCCGCGGTCATTATGACAGAGAGGACGTGATTCTTTTAATGGTCCGTCGCCTGCGAAAGTGAAGCGAAGTGGTACCTCGCATTTTAATTACCTCTAAAGAAAAAGAACTGGGTCTATATATATATCAAAACGCAGACGTTGGCCCAGTGTTGGGCCTGTTTACGGGGAAATTGTTTGGCGCCCAAGTGGGATTTTCCCGCAGTGAGAACATTCCCATTGTGAAGTGCGCCCTGCACATTTTTCAGCCGGTGGCTTAACACTGCCGGTTAGCCACGGTATGTTCACACACAGCACACTTGTCTTAGCTATTTCACTATTATCATACGTGTTGAGTTCATTATAATTGTTATTGTCAAATACTGCTGAGCTTGTTCCCGCCAAATTTCACTTTTGTCACCAGTCTAATATGAATTGCATTGGCGTAGGGTGCTTGCCACGGACCTCAGTAACAAGGAAATTAAGTGGGGCCTAATTGCCGATTATAATTGCCCGACGCCTGTGCATTCTGTGGCACAAGGACCCCCCCCCCCCTGTGCAGTTGCACCGCCTGCACACTCGATAGCTGCACCACTGCTCGACGAGTGACTTCGATCTGTGGGACCATGTGGTTTGTTTTTTGTGCCGGTATAACAATGAGGGGGGGAGGGGGGAAGCATCGGCTTTAACCTATCCGGCAATACTGACAGGCGTCACGATGTGATCGGTGTTTGTTTTATCGGAGTTTGAACGACCCCAGGCGTGTGTGGTTCGTGGAGGCTTAGTGGCTCGCGCGTGAACGCCTTGACCCCTGCATTGTTGACCCTCGCAGAATTACGCACGCACACACGCACACGGTTGTATCATCAGCAACATCGGTGACGGTGATCATCAACAATGATCATCAGTGACAATGATCATCGGTGGCAATGATCATCGATGACAATGATCATCGGCAATGATCATTGGTGGCAATGATCATTGGCAATGATCATCATCGGTGACAATGCTCATCGATGACAATGATCATCGGCAATGATCATCGGTGGCAATGATCATTGGCAATGATCATCATCGATGACAATGATCATCAATGACAATGATCATCGGTGCAAATGATCATCGATGGCAATGATCATCATCGACAATGATCATCGGTGGCAATGATCATCATCGACAATGATCATCGACGACAATGATCATTGGCAACAATGGATGAAGGCCATCTCATGCCATGTCGGTTATTGTGGGGCTGCTTGACCACACAGTACTTTACCAGAATCAGAATATGTATGTATTTAATGGAGGAATCCGATGAGCGAAAAGCTCTTTTTCCACAGATGTCAGCATGGGCGAAGAATAGCGAGGAAAATAAAACCTCAGGTCACTCGGGGTCGCAGTAGCAAGTGCGTTCCTAACCACCATAGTACCGTACCATACACACACACACACAATAAGATAACAGAACGTTTATGATATGTTTTAATCATTAGCATGAAAAACGGGCAATTTTCGACATTTGCACAGTCCCAAAAGACGTTCCGATTTTGTTTTTACGAACAAAAAAAATGTCACGAATCTGACCTTTAAAGAGCCGCAGTGCCCCAACCACTGCGCCACTGCTTGCACCCTCCTCTTGTCGTAAGGTTCTCCACGTGTTGCATTGTTTCGGCTCGCTACGTGCAGGGCACGACTGCGGGTTTTTCCCCCTTTTCGCTGTGGCCAGCCGAACGCCCGTCGCAGATTCAACAGCTTGGGAAATCGCCAGCGAACTCGTTAAAACAACGCAAACATTTCGTATTTCTTGTTTTCTTTCCGTGGGAGTATTTTTATCCATCGGTGCCTCGAGTCGAAGCACGACAGAGTGACAGAAACAAAATAAAAAAAACCCCAAATCGTGATTGTTGACATTTCGTTGGTAACACGAGATGTCGTGTTGACATTTGTTGCGCGCGTTTGATCAGTCGCAGACGCGATCGCAGATTGCAGACACTGCTGCAAAGACAGAGGCGGGTTATTAAAGCCTACGTCCGATTTTTCCTGTTGATTGGCGCACACTGCGCTATGAACTTGGCGACCTGATTGAGCATTTTTATTATTATTGTTATTTTGTGAATGGATGACCGTCAGTTGGTTTAGCGATGTCTGTGAAGCCAGTCCTGGCCACCCCCTACTCCTCCTGCCTCCATCATCCCACACTGACCGCTGCAGTGTGAAGTACGTTCAAACGACTCCCGTCACCAGGGCCGTCCATAGGAAGTGCGGGCCCGGGCGGGATGAGTCCCGTGACCAGCGGCGTAGTCGGAACTCGCAAACGTCGGCCACCACTAGTTCAGGATGGACTTGACCACGCATCACTTGCTAACAAAAGCACCGTGGACTACAGTACTCTCCTTTATCATCCATAACAGAGGTTTATTTGGGTTAGATTGCGTAAGTATAAATGCGTCGTTAAACCCGCCACCACCCGACACATATAATCTAACGTCAAAAAGCCTCTATTACTCTCCTTTTGCTTCCACGTTCTATGAGCCCTTTAGTGACAAAACAGCGACGTAGCTTCTTGCCAAAGAGTCGCGAGTACACCTGCCAACTGGTTTTACGCAGGGAAGACTCATCGACTCTCAAGGCCGCCTTCACTCGCCAAGTCTCAAGGTCATCTTGAAGGAAGGTCGTGCATGTGGGGCTGCTTGTCCCAACTCCCTTGCGAAGTCGGGAGTTTTAAAGACGTGTTCATATCCTCAAAGCAACGTCTCGAGTCGCGGAAAGTCGGTCTGCACCCTGGCCCCACATTGACGAGGTCTGGGGAGGTACGCGCGTCGATTGAAAATGGGTCTTCTCTTAGCCGCATCGCGAACGTGAATTTCGTTGCGATGTAAAACAAATAATAAAGATAATTGGAACCTGCGAAGCGCGTGCGGTGTTCGCCGAGTCAGAGGCGGCGAGGAACCAAACGAGCGGGACAGGCAGCCAAGGCGGTGAGCTGCTGCCAAATGTCAGCCCCCCACACCCGCTTCCCCAAAGCTCTGTGGTCATTTATATATTAAGTTGTTATTGGCCAATTCGTTCCGTTTGTTGTCCTTCCCCCGCACCTCCGAGTAGCACGGTTGGCTGCCTACGGTGCGAAAGAAGTTCAACATGCGTGCATCCATACAATGCAATCAGTGAGTGGAAGTAATAAAATAATAAAAATAAAACATAATACAATAATTGTTACGACGTTTCGGCCACAACGCAAGCAGCCGTCCTCACCTGAGGAACCAAACGAGCGGGACAGGCAGCCTGAGGACGGCTGCATGCGTTGAAACGTCGTGAGAATTATTTTATTATGTTTTATTTTTATTATTTATATTATTTATTATTTTATTACTTCCCTTCTACGTGACTTTACCGAAAGAACCAAGAAGATGAATCCCTGCAGTCACGAAAGATTTAAATCGAAAAATAAAATCAGTGAGTGCTTACACGCGGGAGGACACTGGAGCACACAGGGAAAACACACTCTATGAGGGGGAAACACTGTATCCCGTACAAATGGAACAGGTTGGGGGGGGGGGGGTCTAAGTTTGCCGTACCGCGTTCTCCTCGCGAGCCAGGGTAGCGCACCACCGACCCCCGCCACTGCCTCCACGGTGCGTGGTGGCATCCGGCCACGTGCAGCGTTGGCTCCACCGCCCGCGGCACATTTGGGCGAGCTCCGCTTCGCAGAGCGGGCCCCAGCCTGCTCACGTCCACGGTCCATAGCTGTCAACCCACGCGGTTTACTCCGTATTCTTGTGCAGGGAATTTGGATTTTCAGGTCGATACGGCGTACAGCCGTTTCAATGCGGGCAACAACAAAAAAAACTGCGTTTGTGTTTCTCCCTTGTGCTGGGACTTTGCAGGATGAACGTTGAGATGTATAAGGAGCACGGGGTGACCAGTAAGGTCTGACTTGGTCTGTAATAATGAGAAGGGGTTGGCAGCTATGACGGTCACACGCTCAGCGTTCAGCACCGACAAGAGACCGAGCCAACAACGCGTTCTCCGACGATTTCCTTTTTATTAAAACCGAGAGTCTTGTGGGAATGGATCACGCTGTTAGGGTTACCGCCGCGTCGATGAATACACAATTCGATGCGTTTACGCGAGTAAAAAAATATTTATAAAAAAAACAACCTACTCCCTAACTCCCTCCCCTCCCGCCCCCCACTTTTTAAGAACATGTAATAACGTGACAAACACATTCATTGCAAAAGGTTAGGTTTTTTTTTACATTCCAAAAAAATAGCTATATATATATTACTCGATAGTGCGGCTCAATCTGCAAGAGTCCATGATCACTTACTTTAATCGTTTAGGCAAATACATAAAACACACACACACACACACCTTGAGTCTATGCTCAAAAGTGAAAGCCAGAGCAGTAGCTGCTGCATGAAGACAAGTCCCTCCGCTGCTCAAGGAAAGGCGGGGAAAAAAATTGGCCGCTGCTGTGCTCGGAACCTGACTCTCCTGAGTTCGAATCCTGGCCACGGGGCACTGACATCAGTGGCGTCCGATGCCCGAGCCGCTCCTGTACAAGGAACTTTTTTCACCAAATGCCACCGACCAGGGTGGCCAAGTAACGGTCAAACGATTGCCCGCGATCGACACGGCGTGGACAGCCCTTTTCTCATTCAGCGGCGGATTAACAACAACAAAAAACGCGTCGCGAATAACGAAGGTCATGAGGTTCGCAAGCTTTAAAGGTCCCAGCAAAGCCTCCCGCATCGTCTCGCGACGCCATTCGAACTGCAACCAGTGCATTGACGTATCGGCTTCACCGACCGTCGTCTCTAAGACGAGTAGTGTGACCGTGATGACGGGTGGAGCGGACGGCGTAGCGGTGAGCGCAACGGCGATACGAATATCGCAGGAAGACGAGGTTCGACGTCCCCATCGCCAACCCACGTTGACCAGCGCGGTGAATATGGTGAATAGATTTCGATGTAACCGACACGGTGTGAGGCGGGCCGTCATCTAGCAGTGGATTGGGAAAGGGTTGCACACTACTTGACATGATGACCTCTCGAACCTGGACCGATTGTTTCCTCTCATCAGAGGGAGTTCGTTTCCAAGTTGTCAAGTTCACGACGCACAAACGAATGTGTGTTTCGAAATTAAAAAGAGGGAGGAAAGTAATATTGGTTGTTAAGTACTTCCTCTCTAGAAGTACTTGTAGTCCTGAGCCAGTGGGGAGAAACACAACTGATTTAAACATCCCTTCCTTTATAAGTATCCGTTTAAATCCCGAAGTTGACCGAATTTCACAGACGATGGTCAACGTCTTGCATGGCTATGCCTTGGGATGTAAACCCATATATATGTATTCAACATCGTTTCCTGCAATTGTGTGACCTTAAAATATCGTCGGGGACAGATGTCCGAGGAATGTCGGTTGTTCAGCGCTGGTTTGCATCTGAAATCTGTTTTTAAATATATATTTTTAACACAACCCTTTGATCGAATTGGCGGGCGTTTTTTGGTGAGCCGAAGTGCGTAAAATAACGACGCAAATTTGTCGTAAAGTTTTAGTTGAATTCCTGCAGTCACGGAAGCTTTAAGTCAAGGTTTTAGTTCCTTTTGGACCAACTTCATGAGTGTTTAGAGTAGTGACCGCCCTCAACAACCCACCCCACGCACTCTCCCACACCCCCGACCCCCCCACCCCCCTCTCCCCGTACAGGTACCACACAGACGGACGGATGTGCGGAGCGACGGAGCTGAAAGAAGGGGACATCGGGAAGAATGGATGGAATATTGTACAATTGCAACAAAAAATCTCATGTTTTCCACGGAGTCACGTATCGTACAGTGCTCATTCTGTTATTCTCGAAAAATATATATTTTTTTTAAAACGTGCATTTAGGGTGCAGTTGATGTGAAGGCAATCTCTTTATTTGCGAGTGGAGTGATTTGTTACACGTTGTTCACAGCCGTGACATTTACATTGTTTGTGTCCTATGCTTAGTAAAACTTAAGTCAAGATTTATACGTCGATAAGATATATGCATAAATACTTACATAACACATACCATACTTTATATTTTACACATCACAGCTTGGGTGCCTATCTCTTTTCAAAGCAACTCTTTTGTTTGAAAGTTAAAATACATTTCCAGATACATTTCACGTATCTTCAACGCAACCTGGTCCTCACACTCGCGACGAGGACGTGCAAATCGCCCACGTGTGCATCCCACACTCCCTCTCCTCGTGAAAACCGTCTCCCTTGTCAGGTCACGACCTCTCACTTTGCAAGCCGTGGTGGGGGGGGGGAGGGGCAGTGCCGGATTAAGCTAGTGCGGGGCCTGTAGCATATGTTATAAAGGGGCCCTAACTAGAAATATAATGAACAAAAAAAACACAAATATTAAAACACAAATGTTTAACTTGTAGAATAAAGTGATTGTGTTTTTTTCATTTGCTATACAGCCAGATAATATGGCAAATGGCTCACCTTAAACACCCAGTCGTTCATAAAAGTTTAAGGCAGTCTAGCACTATATAGTAATAGAGCAAGTGCAGAATCACTGAACCGGAATGTATAGCTTGAAGGAATTTTGCGTGGGGCCCTTAAAAGTGCGGGGCCCGTAGCATATGTAGCTACTTTTGCTATTAGGATAATCTGGCATTGGGGGGTGGGGGGAGGGTGTTGACCTGGATGAACGTCGTTCCTTCCACGGTGGATGAAATCGGCACCCCTTTGGAGCCGGCCGACAATGCGGAAGCCGTCAAGACGCGGCGCTCCGCAGCTCGCTCCGTCAACGCCTCTGTGCCACCGGTCGAGAGAAGCGGCGGTGGGACGGTGGCGAAAAATATTGGTGAGGCACGGAAGCCCGTGTGTGGGGTGCTCCACGCCGCGCCCACGTGCTCCACGCCGCGACCACGTGCTCCGCGCCCACGTGCTCTACGCCGCGACCACGTGCTCCACGCCGCGACCACGTGCTCCACGCCGCGCCCACGTGCTCCACGCCGCGCCCACGTGCTCCACGCCGCGACCACGTGCTCCACGCCGCGACCACGTGCTCCACGCCGCGCCCACGTGCTCCACGCCGCGACCACGTGCTCCACGCCGCGCCCACGTGCTCCACGCCGCGTCCACGTGCTCCACGTCGCGCCCACGTGCTCCACGCCGCGACCACGTGCTCCACGCCGCGACCACGTGCTCCACGCCGCGACCACGTGCTCCACGCCGCGACCACGTGCTCCACGACGCGACCACGTGGTCCACAATGCAGCGACGTTTCCAGCCACTGGAGCCGCACGCACGGAGGCCCGGGGAGGGGTTGGCGTTACGTTCTTTTGCTGCCGTCGAGTCGTTCGTGTACCCCCCCCCCCCACCCCGCCAGATTATTTTCGAAGCGCTCTGGGGTGGAGGTCGGTCGCCGTTGTGGCTGGCTCAGGAGTTTGGGAAAGTAAAAGTTCATATCGGGCCAGGGTCTGGCGTTACATTCGCAGCTGTCAATGTTGGGGGGGGGGGGGGTGGTGGGGACAGTGTGGGGGGGGGAGGGGTATGAAAAAGTTTGCTGCTCCATGGAAGGGCAATAATCGATCGTCGTCGTTGTTGTTGCTGCTGCTGTGTTCAAGGAAGTCAAAAACAGTTGCTGCTGCTGCTCTTGTTGCTGCGTTTATAGACGAGGCCCTTGGTGTAAGAATGTGGGGGATTTTAAATACCGGCTCAAGGTCTAATGGACAGGGAGCACGAGAGAAGGACCCCATCACTCCCACCCAAGCGCAGGTCCACCTTCCGGTCGGTGATGGTGGTGGCGGCTGTTTCTCGTTTTTTTCCCCCACAGTATTTGAAGACGCGACTCAAGAGGAGGGCTGGACGCTTCGAGCGGCAGTCGGGCAGCTGAGAAATCCACCGCCGCGGAGATGCGGACAACGGCGGCGGCGGCGTGGATGACAACGACGACGACAGCTCCTCTCCACACGGTCCCGCCGATGGACGGAGGTGGTGGGTGCCCGCCCGGGAGGTGAAACGGCTACCGGCACCGTCAGCCCATGGTCGCGTGGTGGGTCGCGCCGTGGGCCACGGGCGCCTCTACTACCGACGCCTTCCTTGGTGGTCATACGAGGTTGTCGACGGTGCCCGGGTCGTCGCTCTGGTTGTCAGCCTCCGTCCCTGTGGCAGACCGCAACGCCATGAGAGTCTGGCGCTCGGCATGCTGCAGTGGCACGTGGCAGTTCCTCATCGACCAGTGGGTCGCCAACGAGCGGCGGCGCCTCTCGCAATGCCAACCGGCCTGCGCACAAAGACAAACATCCCCCATGTAACCTCGGCAGACTCTTGGGGCAAGTGCTGTGAGCGAGTAGCGCCTATGCAGGTAGGCACGGCGCACCCGCGTTGAGTCGACATGCCGCAGGCCGCGGTGGCGTTCGCGCCCGGCTCGGAGTCCAACCCTGACCCCCGCGGCTAAACTCGATCTCACGCGAAAAACCTGAAGGTAACGCGCGACCTCTGACCCACGTTTTTCGTCAATCGGTCTCTCAAACGTCACTCCCTGCGTGCGCTTCTCCACGCGTCGCCCCGCACCTGTCGGTTTGTTTTTGGGCACGACGTGTCTCTTCTGTGGTCACGTTGCTACAATGTTGTTCATTGTCACGTCCGGTCGTTGTAAAAAGCGCCCCCAGCCCCGCTATCGTTTCATCGTTTCCATGCCAATCGCGATCCGCCGAGGTCAGGGGGGGTTGGCAAACCCGTGGCTCTGGAGCACCGCATGCGGTCCCGTCAAGGAACTGCTCCGTGACGTTAGTTATTTAAGGTTTGCGCTTGAAATATAGAGTTTTTATTTTGACTGAATTCAAAAGAAAATGGCTCTCCTTGTTATTTTGGTTGCCCGACCACCCCCCCCCCCCCTCCCCCCCCGGCCTCTCGTTGTGTTTTTGCACACAATTACTCGTTTAATGACATTTTAACTCAAGAAAAACGGTCACTCTCATATCATTAAACTCCGCAAATGCCGAGTACATGCCCTCAAACGCGCGTTAGACGTTGAGTCTCTGAGCGGGAGCATCGCATCTGCTTTCGATTAAATGCGAAACCACAAAGAGCCTCCTCTGGCCCCTGCTCCGTGGCTTCCAACTTGCAGAGCCTCTGCAACAGCGCCCGCCGTTATTGTTTCCAAATGCTTAGCACACAACCCTGCCATTCCTTCATGCCAGACAAGAATAACATTAAATCTAGCTCGTGAGCCTACTTCACATTCCAACATCGAAGGGCCAGGAATATCTTTCATGACAGAAATAGCCCCCGCTCTTTAGCCCAGGGGTATGGTGCCAACAAAATACGAACAAGAAAAGCCATTTTTTTTCGAATTCGGTAACAAACAAACAAACAAAAAAAGCCCTCAAAATTTCAAGAGCCGCGACGCAAGTCAGCGGGCGTCACAAAGGAGCCCTTAGCAGGTTGCCGAGCCCCCCCCCCCCCCCCCCGTCTTAGCCACGTCGTGGGGAACGTCGTCAGGGGTGCCTCCGCCATTGGGCGCGTTGTTCTCATTGCGTACCACGAGGTAGACGAGCAGAACGCCCGTGGTGCCCATGAAGACGCAGGCGGGGATCCTCCAAGTGTCGACGCCCGAGGGTGACTCCGCGGACATTCCGGCTCGGCTCTCTCCGTTTGCACAATGGTCTAATCCCAGAGAGACGGGGTGGGGGGGGGGAGATGGGGGGGGGGTGAAGCGAAGTGGATTGGTTTAGCCATGTTTGTTTGTGGTAGTACAGAGTTAGACTGATGGCCTTAATCTAAGTTGTCTTGTGGTTGTTGTTGTTGTTGTTTGACTTGCATCCCACTGGGATTTTTGCACACAGCGTTGGTGTACGGTGATTTTTCTGCAATATTTTGCTGTCTTTTCTTGGATTTTCTGTTTGCACTCAGTCACATATTCACTTTAAGATGTTTTTTTGTTCATGTTTTTGTTTTTTGTTTGTTGCGGTTGCACCCGATTCAAGAGCCGAATGGCTCACAGAGCTCTACCTAATACATGAAACTTGAAGATTGGACGACGCTGGAGATTTGTTCAATCGACGAGAGATTCATTGCCCATTAACAGAGCGTGGCTTATGCTCAATTAGGGCTTCAATCAATTGATGGAGATTCATTCCATCGATAAGAGCTTCACTGAGGCCCGTGGAGCCCCATTAATGAGATTAATTCCAATCAATGGAGATTCCTCGTCTATGGAGCTACAATAACGTAACACGCTCTATCAATCGAGGTTCGTTCAATGTTTGGAGTTTAGAGCCGGCCCATCTGAATACTTAACGAATAAGTTTATAATTGAAACCGCTGGCATCCGTTCTAGGGCTTCGTAGACTTACAGACATGGCACTTATTGACCCATCATATATAGCTCTGTGGGTTCCCCATAAAGCCTGAGTCACTGCAAGTTGCACGTTTATTTTGTTTGACCAAGGTGGAGAAGACGCAGGAGGAGGGACGGGACCAGGATCGAATCTCATTCACAAGAGTGACCCGAGTCACCGTAAATCACAAAACAAGTACAGTGCAACAGTAAAGAGAACGAACATCGGAGGTGAAAACAACCAACTCGAATTCAGTTGCAACGTAAGTTCACGAAAAAAAATGTTCGCGTTAGATCGCGTAAATATAAAGGTGTCATAAAAAAAAACCACCACCACCACAGTCAATCGGTAAGGTTTGTCACGTAAACAAAACATGACAATTGCTTGCTACTGCAGCGCACCGGTAAATTGGGAGAGTAAGCCCACAACATTTACAAATTGAGTACGGCGTTCCGCTGGCGATCACAGCCAGCTTCATCAGGCGATTTGGCAAAATCGGTGGTGGGTTAACGACAGGAAGTGACGTCACTAATCAGTGACGTCACTAATCAGTGACGTCACTCATCATCAGTGACGTCACTCATCAGTGACGTCACTCATCAGTGCCGTCACCAAAGTGTCGCACCGACTTGCCCGACCATGATTTTCGGCACCGCTTCGGTGAAAGTGAGGTGGTCAGCAGTAATTGCCGGGACGTAGGCACATGCAGGTCCCATCACGGTGAATGTGGAATTACCACCACCACCGGTTTCCCACAGCAAATGGCTGCCCAATGACTTATCGGAGCGGTGGGATGCATCGGGCTCTAGATATCGGTCACACGGGCGTTATTGTTATTACTGAGAGAGAGAGAGTACTAGGATTTAGTCCTTCAGGTTGGAGATAAAAAAAAAAGACGCGCTACCTGAGACTGCCGGTCTGGAGGTGGCATCTGCCGTCATGTTTTCTGCAGCAGCTGGAGCGGACGAGGCTGCGGAGAGGGAAAGGTGACGAGGTTTGCGTCCGATACCATCAAATATTTAAAGGACAACAGCAATGCATTTTTATTCAAAGCTTTCGTGACTGCAGGGATTCATATTCTTGGTTCTTTCGGTAAAGCCACGTAGAAGGGAAACAATAAAATAAAAAATGTAAATGTTATTGTCTTATATTTTTACGATTTAATTGTTTCCCTTCTACGTGAGTTTACCGAGACAACCGCAAAGCTCACGCCAGTGATTCTGAACCTTTCTTTGGCTACCGTACCCTCCGATGGAATTTCGTTTCAACCGAGTACTCCCTTGCCTGACCCAGCATAGTTCTGGGAAACAAACGTATGGATAACGAATGTCAATATTTGAACCAATTGCCCATTTTGTGAGGTATCCTAGCGAGCTAGTAACTGCAAGTGAATGAAAAAAAACAAATTCAAAGCACGCTCCGCATGTATGACATGATTCGTTCACGTTCGCTGGTTACTCTTGGAAACCACATTGTTTGCAATCAGCGAGTTCACAAACGCCTTTTAAATCGTTCTAGGTAACCGTATAGATTCAAATGTTATCGTAGCTATTTTATATTGGCAGATTCACATGTGATTATTCACCAATGACTCTCATACATGATGCCATTTCACACGTTGATAAATCACCTCACGTACCCCCTGGGACATTGAGACGTTACCCTCAGCGTTCCGCGTTCCGCCCGGTTGAGAAGCACTGGCTTGCGCCGAGGGGAACGCCAATAGCGTGTGATGGCGGTGTGGCTCTGCCAGTGACCATGCGCTGGGGCGAGCGCTGTTTGAGGTTATATTGTTTACATTTAACAGGGTTTTGCACTGTCATAACAAATGTTCCACTCAACTCCTGTTGCCAATGGGGATGTACTCCGAAAACTGTGAACATTTCCTGTTGTTGGTTCGCCTAATCCAGGATAGGAAAAAAAAAATACGCGTTTGAGGCATTGGAAAGCGTTGCGTTTATTTTTATTCAAGATCTACCTATGGACAACTTAGCAACGTTAATGGTTCCTCCGAATGCCAGGACGAAAAGCAAACTTTGCACGCTCCCCCACTGGATTCTCACAGCCAATGCAGTTAACTGGAACTGCCCACGGACTTGTTGAAGGCGTGGGACTCATCGGCTCTTGAATAGATCACACGTGCAACGTCGTAGCACCGAGCGAATGCGTTTGCGGGGGTTAGGCCTCGGGCGGGAGATAAGACGGCGACCTACCTGGTGGCACCACCGGCCTGGAGGTGGCATCTGTGTTTGCTGCGGACGTTGGGACGGGCGAAGCTGTGGAGAGAGGAAGGTGGAAGGAAGGTTTGTATCGGGGGGGGGGGGGGGGGGGAGGAAGTGTGGGGTATGAATACATATTCAAAAGACGACCACACTCCCACTGAAAGAAGATGAATATCTGTCGGCGTTTTCGAATCTAATTTGCGTTCGTTACAAGTCGAGTCACTTTCACTGCATTACAGTTCATGGATGGGCGCTTCTGCCAGCAGCCTGCCCACCCGAAGTGTCGTGACATGTACGTACGTATGTTGAACTTCTTTTGCACCGTTCGTAACCAACCGCGCCCATGAGAGGTGCGGGGGGGCGGACAACAAACTAAGCAGTTCTAAAGAAATGACTTCGTCAATCCAGATGATTTAAAAGTGCATTGCTCCAGTGGCTTCCGAATATCAGAAGGAAGAGCGGAAGCGCTTCCATTCCGTCCGTCGCACGCATATGAAAAGCACGCGACGGACGGAACGGTTGGGCGGACGGACGGGAGGAACACAACGCTCAGACGGAACGGAACGAACGCGATGAGACGGAATGCGGACGGAACCGAAGGGAACGGAGTGGCGGTGGTGGAGGGCGACACCGAGGCCCAAAGTCGCCCGTCACCTGTGCTCTCGGTGTCCTTTGTCGTCGCTGGGCTGGAGAGGCACTTGCTGGAAGCCCCCTCGGATTTGCCGACGTCTTTCGTGAGGCGCTTGAGGGCCGTGGCGAGCGAGTCCGGCTTCACTCGTGCTTGGCAAAGGCAAACGGTCTGTTGGTCGACAACGCGGTTATGATGATTATGTATTATTTTGACTGCTATGATATTTATTACGATGAACACGTAGGCTTTTGCGACCAATATTACTCATGGCAAAGGTTGTTTTGTAAATGCGTCGTTAACCCACCACCACCACAAGCATCGCCCGACACAGCCAATTGGTGAATGTAAACGAAACGTGCCGAACAAGACGTGCCAAATGTAACAAGAGAAATGACTGACGCGGCACGGGGAGACTTTCACCCAGCAGTGCAGTGTTCGATCACGTCTGATGACGGCAACGGTGACGACGGTGACGATGACGATGATTTACGTACGCGCTATCGCCTTTTTTAATGGCGTCGAGTTCATTCGCACGCTGCTTTTGCGTCCGCAGCGTAGCCGCGCACGCTCTCTCCGCGAAACGGGTCGCTGCAAACTCGCCTCGTTCGAATGGCAGATGTCCTTGAGCGTCTTGAGTAACGTATTGCCGCTCATGCTCACATTGCTCCCGTTGTGTAGCTGACTGAGCAGAGAGCTCAGTGATTCCAGGGCCATCTCGAAGGGGTTTTTCTCGAAACAATTCTCCGAATTCTGTAAGGGAGAGAGGAAGACAGAGGGGCAAACCCCCCAAAAAAGCGGAAAATCAAATTTGAGAGTGAAATCGCCGACGGGGTTCACTTCAAAGGACCCACTTTATCCCACCCGGGCATTGCACAAGAAACCCGGGGCTCTTTGAGGGCCACTTCGTGACGTCATTCATTAAGGAGCACTGTCTCGTGTTGACCCACAGTGCATTGCGGCTCTTGAAACCGAATTCGAAAAGATGTCCCCCCTCTCGTTATTTTCTTGTTATTTCCCACACCGCCGGAGCAGCACGGTTGGCTACGTTCAAAGCGGAAGAAGTTCAACGTGCGTTTTGGTTGCCGACCCCTGGACTAGCCCTTGGCATAGCAGCCAACAGACCCCAAACACAAGCCCCAGCGCAGACCCCGAGACCCCCTTTCCAAGTGCTAGCGTGGGCCGCGGCTCTCTCGCCGTCCTGGTGGGTTTCGAGATGTTTGGGGTCAGATCGCCCGCGTGAGTAAAATTGCGCGTCGTAAAGCCTTTCACCGCCCGACACAGCCAGTCGACAAAAGCCGTCGAGTGATGAACGAACGCGCCGGTTTATTACAGCCTCAGAAGGCGCCACCACTGGCAGTGAGGCATGGCGCGTTGAACTTCTTTCGCAGCGTACGCAGCCAGCCGTGCTAATCGGAGGCGCGGAATGTTGCTGTTGGAGAGCGATCCGCACAACGTTCAGCGATCGGGTGGCGGCCGTTTCGCTGATGGTTACGACCAGCATCGTCAGGCAGTCGCCAAAAATTGTGAAAGATGACATCACGCCATCTATTTAAGGCGCAGGACCGGAGGACTGAGACATCTGTGGTGTCATTTTTTTCATCGTATTTTTGGAAAATTTGGACCGTGACGTCATCACACAATGACATCACGGGGTTTAAGGCAGTCTGTTTTATTGTTATTTGTCTTTGTGAACCACTGACAGCACAGCATCACACTTGGCATTCACACTCACCGCTCACACTCACCGTTCACACTCATCACTCAGACTGCTCACACTTGCCATTCACACTCACCGCTCACACTCACTGCTCACACTCACCACTCAGACCGCTCACACTTGCCATTCACACTCACCGCTCACACTCACTGCTCACACTCACCACTCAGACCGCTCACACTTGCCATTCACACTCACCGCTCACACTCACTGCTCACACTCACCACTCAGACTGCTCACACTTGCCATTCACACTCACCGCTCACACTCACTGCTCACACTCACCACTCAGACTGCTCACACTTGCCATTCACACTCACCGCTCACACTCACTGCTCACACTCACCACTCAGACCGCTCACACTTGCCATTCACACTCACCGCTCACACTCACTGCTCACACTCACCACTCAGACCGCTCACACTTGCCATTCACACTCACCGCTCACACTCACTGCTCACACTCACCACTCAGACTGCTCACACTTGCCATTCACACTCACCGCTCACACTCACTGCTCACACTCACCACTCAGACTGCTCACACTTGCCATTCACACTCACCGCTCACACTCACTGCTCACACTCACCACTCAGACTGCTCACACTTGCCATTCACACTCACCACTCACCCTTGCCATTTACATTTACCGCTCACATTCACTGCTCATACTCACCGCTCACACTCACCACTCACACTCACCGCTCACACTCACCGCTCATGCTTGCCATTTACACTTACCGCTCACACTCACCGCTCACACTCACCGCTCACACTCACCGCTCACACTCGTCGCTCACGATTTGTGTTCACACACACTGGACACAATTCATAAACTCATCGCACGGCTACTCCGCTTTTCGCTGTTGTGCCCGGTGGTTCACGGGCGCATTTTCTCTTCGGTTGTACGGCGTTCCTGAAGCAACTCCCGTCACGTGGAGCGAAACGTTGGACACGGCGCCGCACAACACGCGCCGGAGAGCTACACCCGTCGTGCGGCTGATCTGTTCGTGTTGTGCAACGGCTTCGGCTTCTCACCCTGTTGTCCTGCGGACCCCAAACCGTCACGCCGTAGTCCAACGGGAGCTGGTTGACCTGCGGTGCACAAATGGGGAACAAGTGCGGATGAACAGGCGCACGTTGATAAAGAAAAGAAGAGGCTTCACCCGAAGACAAAGGTCCCCCGTAGAGCCTTAACAGACTGTCGGGGCAAGTGTTGTTAGGGAGTAGCAGCACCTATGAAGGCCGGGGCGGCGCCCGAAGGGGTGGCTGGCCAGCTACCACGCCCGGCCGCCTTTGTATCCCCAGTGGCGATGTTCACACACCGCACCAGGTACCCATTTGAAGCTGAGTCATCCTTGGGGAAACCCAGGATCGGTTCAGATTACATTCGGGGGGGGGGGGGGAGGTCCCCCCGACCCGCCGCCGGAAATATTACATCTGACACCGTGACGTCGAAAGCACGAAGCCCCCCAAAGCGCGGGGCCCGGGGTGGTCACCCCGATTCACCGTACCCTCGGCGGCTGCTCTGCCTGCCATTCACACTCAGTGCTCACACTCACCGCTCATCACCTGCCATTCACACTCACCGCTCACCACCTAGCATTCACACTCACCGCTCACACTCACCGCTCACCACCTGCCATTCACACTCACAGCTCACTCACCACTCACACTCACCGCTCACCACCTGCCATTCACACTCACCGCTCACACTCACCGCTCACACTCACCGCTCACACTACTCACCACCTGCCATTCACACTCACCGCTCACACTCACCGCTCACACTCACCGCTCACACCGCTCACCACCTGCCATTCACACTCAGCGCTCTGCAGCACCGTGCATGTTATTGCTCTATCCCTGTCACCGGTACTCACAAAGTTGTCAATGAGATTGCCCATGTTGCCCACAACTTCGAAAGTACAGTCATCGACGGCGGCCGCTGACGCTGTCACTGCGAGGCAAAGCAGCGACGTGATGAATCCCGCCGGGAAGATCTGCGACGAGGCGGGGAGGACGTTCGTTTCGTTACGCTCCTCCGGGGAATGAGCACACGAGCCCGGACCAAAGCCAGCCCTTGCCGCGGAATATAAGCACATTAGCCAACTAAACCAGATTCGTAACCCTACCCCTGACCCTAACCACATGAGCCAACCACATCCCAGCTCTACGCCTAGCCCTAAGCACACGACCGCAGCAGTCTCTAGCAAAGGCCCGCACCCTCACTGCGAGCCCTTCCCCAAGTCCAATACCCTCACTGTGCTCCAGCAATCCGTGCTGTCGGCTCCTCGCCCCTCTTCAAGCTGAGGCTCAAGACGTCACCTGTTGTTGTCGCGCCTATGACGGGTGAGCCTCAAATCCCTCCGGGTAACACAGAAAACACGCGGGTCGCGTAGGGCGCCTCGACCACGCGCTCGCGTGCAGACAGGGACCTCCGGTGAGCGCGGCGGGCTACGGTACGGTCGCGAAATAAGTTCAACGTATGTACGCACGTTACCCCCCCCCCCCCCCACCACCTTGCCCAGTTACCCCCTTCCCATTTAAATGTTCATCTGGTTCCCCCGACGAAGTGGTGTCTGTCCCTGCTTGGTTTGGGGCAGTGGTGCCCCCCCCCCCCCCCACCTCCCCACATCCTCTCTCCACCTTTCACTTCCCCTCCTGCGCGTGGTGGTCCCAGTTGCGTCGTCGGGAGCCGTTCCCGCCCCCCCCCCCCCCCCGTGAATTGCGACGCTCCAAAAACGCGCGACAAAAAAAAACACGCACACAATCAACAATATAAAGAGCGAGCTGCGTAACTCCTAAAGCGTGCGGTGAACGCGACGACCGAGGGGGCGGCTTGAAGCCACCCGGGGCCGCTTGCCTTCTTCGCTTGCATGTCAGGGGGCTGTGAGCAGGGATGCTCCCCGCATGGTCCGCGACGGGGAAGGTCAGCCGTGCAAAAATCCCACCGCCGCCGCCGCCTCCGCCGCCTCCCGTCCGCGAATCCCAAACCCCTTGCGTCTCGAAGGCCTGCACGCAGAGCACGGAGGCGAAGGCAGACGATGGAAAAAAAAACCACAATCAGAAAACTGTGCAGAAATACGATGAGCTATAGAGCTCTTATGTCTGCGGGACCTTGTTTGCCAGTTTGAACATGATGAGAAAAGAAAGAAAACAACATACTTGCCCGATTACCTGCCTGTATACCTGCCTGTCTTGCTAGCTACGTGTTTTCCAACTCACCTGTTTGACTACACCTCCCATCTGCCCGCATTGCCACGCTTCTACCTGACTACCCATCCTCCCCACATACAGACACCTCCATTACTACCCATGCGCCCGTCAAGCTGTACACACATTCGCATACACACCACGTGTCTGCTGAACTACCCTGCCTAACGATCTACCTGCCTGCCGGTGGTGTGGCACAGCCGGCATGGAACCTTGGCGCCGACAATGCGATGAGGCCTCCCGCCCCTCGTAGTCCGGCACCTGTGCCCCGATGTCCCATCTGGTGCACCGGTGCAGTCGCACCGCCTGCACACTCGATACCTATGGCCATTGCTGCCTGCTCACCTACCTACCTATCCACGCAGATAGAGCGTTTGTCTTCCTCCTCTGTATCCACCCACACCTACCGACCTACCTACCCACTCAATATTGTCAAGTATGTACCCACCTATCTTCCTAACTATCCAGCCCCCGGATACTATCTGTCTTGTTCTGTGTAATCACCCACCCACCTACCCGCTCGCTCGCTCGCTACGGAATGCCTCGTCAACGCATGTACCCACCCTGTCTACCCGCATGCGCGTGCAAGGCCTGTCTGTAAACCTTGCAGATGAAATGACTTCCTCAAACAGGAGTGCCTTGTGAACACAATGAAAAGCCACGACTAAGGTGTCAGGAAGCGTGAGAAAAGGTTGGTTTGACGACTCCAGGAGGTTTATCCTTTCGTGATGCGTTGAGGTTTCCTTCGGGCGATCTTCATCCTCGAAGTAGTTGGCGGCTCTGCGCATGCCCAGCTGTTCGCCGTCAACTCGGGCGACGCTGCCGCTATTGACGTCGCCAAGATTGGCACCGCTGTGGGCAGGCAATGGGACTATGTCAACACTCAGAAAGGTGCAGCGGTGTGTCTGGAACGTTCCGTGTGTTTGGGGGTGGCAATAGCAGAGTGTAAACGAGGTGGGTTATTTATCCTTGTCTCTCTCTCTATGCCTTTCTCTATGTCTCAGGACCAATCATCTCCCCGTCTCTCGGTTCCTTCGCGCCCGCGTCTTCACGTCGCCGTCGGTCTCGCTGTTTCTGGAACCTTCGTCCACTATTGTGGTCGTGACACGGTCACGGCGGTGGTGTGGAGCGTGGTATAAACGAGGCTCGATTATTGCAACTCACGACTCGACGGGACGTCTCGCAAAAACACATTGCCAAGCCGCAGCGTGTACGTCACTGGAGCTATGCACTTTTCAATCTCGATTGGAAACTCATTTATTTAGAACCGATTTTGTGTTTAGTCTGTTGTTCTTCCCCCGCACTTACGATTAGCACAGTTGACCATCTCCAGCTGTCCGTCTATCTTAATCCCCCCCCCTCTCTCCCACCCCCCAACCTACCCCTCTTTGTCTCTCCCTCTCCACCTCGTACCCCTTTTCCATCTCCTCACTCTGACCAAATCCTTCGTAATCGCACCCTCTTGCGTCGAATCTCAGAAGCCAAGCAGGATTTTTGGAGCCCGGACGGTGCTTGGAAGTGGTGCAATCGCCATGCATTACAGGTTTCTTATCAGCTGCTGTGGGGGGGGGGGCGGGGGGGGGGTTTCCGTGGCGGTTCAGCAGAATCCGTCATCGGCTCGCCAACGTGGTTAAAAAGAAGTCCCCTCAGTTCGTAGTGTCGTGGGAAGGCGCTCATCCAGCAGTGGATTGATTCAAGGCAGCATGCGTACACCTCTTCACGCGTTTGCTTCCCTGAACCTCTTTATCTTTTCAGTTTCTCTGTTCGCAACACGTGTCTCTCTCTGTGTGTCAATAGCCTGGCATACATCCAATGCAGTATCATGACTAAAGCAATCCGCGGACTGTCAAGACTTTCCTGGTAAAGTTTACGATTCTAATATATGTGTGTTTAACTTATTATCGCACCATTCGTAGCCAACCATTGCTGATCGGAGGTGCGGCAAAATTACCGGTTAAATTGCTACCGATTACACAAGTAATAAGATTATTAATGTAATCAATAATGCTGTAATCAATGACAAAGACCAATTGTGAAGACACGTGTGTGTTAGCCCTCCCTGTTAGTTCTAGAACCCAGACCCCTTTTCCATTGGCTAAATCCGAGCCCAGGCCAGCGCAGGGCATCTCGCGGCCACGTGTCGTTTTCCACTGGGCTATGTTCCGTACCGATCCAAAACCGACCCGCGATACGCCGGCCTCACGAGACGTCTGAATCTGGCTCAGTGGGGGGGGGGGGGAGCACAAGCAGGGCCAGAGGCTGATGCCACAGTTGGTAACACCGCGAGGACAAATCGTCACCGAATCAATCGCCTCCGCGCGTCTCGACTCATCCATTCCGTGCAATGGCAACGGCCATGGGCTCGGTGTTGTTGTGCAGTGGGAAAAACCCAAGCTGGCTGCTCCTGAGCCACACCAAGGCTGGCTTGGGATGAACCTCACAAGGCTCGGTGTTGTTGTGCAGTGGGAAAACCCCAAGCTGGCTGTTCCTGAGCCACACCAAAGCTGGCTTGGGATGGGCCTCACAAGGCTCGGTGTTGTTGTGCAGTGGGAGAAACCCAAGCTGGCTGTTCCTGAGCCACACCAAGGCTGGCTTGGGATGGGCCTCACAAGGCTCGGTGTTGTTGTGCAGTGGGAGAAACCCAAGCTGGCTGTTCCTGAGCCACACCAAGGCTGGCTTGGGATGGGCCTCACAAGGCTCGGTGTTGTTGTGCAGTGGGAAAAACCCAAGCTAGCCCCTTCTGAGCCACGCTGGCTTGGGATGGGCTTCACAAGGCTCGGTGTTGTTGTGCAGTGGAAAAACCCATGCAGGCTCCTCCTGAGCCACGCCAAGGCTGGCTTGGGAATGATCTGGCGCGGCTCAGTGTTTGTGCAGTGGGAAAGAGGCACGAGGCTGATAACAGCCGAGCTTTTTGGCATCTCACGTAAACGTTTCGGATATCGCAAGGTGGATAAGCGAGGCTCATGAAAGCGGGCTTTTAAAAGCATCCCACACAACGAGGCACAAGCGTGTTTTTTGTTCGTTATCAACAAATCCCGTATCCACATTTCCACAGCTTCACAGGAAGACGCTGGGCTTGGTTTATCTTTGGGCTGTCTATCTATGCCTGTGAGTTTTCAGCAAGACGTGTTTTTTTTTCTAACACTGCATTGATATCGGTACAAAAATCAAGATAAGAAAAACAACTGTGTGCACAGTAGTGCCCAGTCGCCCGATCAGGTTTAGTTTACTGGGGCACATAGACATATCTGTTGTCGTTAAAAGTAATACTCATAACAAATGTACCTCCTAACAGCGCCATGTCAACCCGCCGCTCGACGTAGGCTTCCCGCGCTGCGTCGGTCGTGGAGATAGCATTGACCATACTTCACCACGCTGGTCCACGTGGGTGGAGAGTGCGGGCATCACTTGCCGTGGCACAAGGGAATCGAAAAACCGTGTCGCCGGCTTCTTCGTCAATTTTCCCAAAGCATTCCGCCAAAAATGTTTATTCTCAGAAACGCGATACGTAGTTTGGATTTGTTTGGCAAAGCTGTCTGCCTTGACTGGGTCTTCGCCGAGGGTTTGTATTTTCAAGCGGGGCCATGCGCCATGTGCGGGCAGGCGTGTTGCGTGCCAGGATCACGCACGCCACTGCCACGGCAGGCTGGAGATTACATACGTACGTGTGTGTATGTTGAACTTCTTTTGCACCGTACGTAGCCATGCGCGCCAATCGGAGTTGCGGAGGGGAAGGACAAGAGACCAAACAACAAAGAGCAGTTCTGAAGAAATGAGTTTTCAATCCAGCTGATTTCAATTTGCAGATGGCTCCAGTGTCCGGCATCTGAATGCGCGCGCGATGCGGTCGCGACCCGACCCGACTCTGTTCGATGGCCGAGCCAAGAACGCCGTTGCGAGGGGGTCACACCGGGTTCGCGGCGCTAGGCGGTGACCTCGACGCTGGCGAGGCGGCGGTGGAGGTGCTCACGTGGAGCGACGTCGTCGTGAATGTTCGAGATGCTGCTGCTGATGCTGATATTGCTGCTGCTGTTGATGCTGCTGCTGCTGTTGATGCTGCTGCTGCTGATGCTGATATTGCTGCTGCTGTTGATGCTGCTGCTGCTGTTGATGCTGCTGCTGCTGTTGATGCTGCTGCTGCTGTTGATGCTGCTGCTGCTGCTGTTGATGCTGCTGCTGCTGTTGATGCTGCGGCTGTTGTTGCTGATATTGTTGCTGGTGTTGCTGTTGTTACTGCTGCTGCTGCTGTTGATGCTGCTGCTGCTGTTGATGCTGCTGCTGTTGTTGATGCTGCTGCTGTTGATGCTGCTGCTGCTGTTGATGCTGCTGCTGTTGATGCTGCTGCTGCTGTTGATGCTGCTGCTGCTGTTGATGCTGCTGCTGCTGTTGATGCTGCTGCTGCTGCTGCTGTTGATGCTGCTGCTGTTGATGCTGCTGCTGCTGTTGATGCTGCTGCTGTTGTTGATGCTGCTGCTGCTGTTGATGCTGCTGCTGCTGTTGATGCTGCTGCTGTTGTTGCTGCTGCTGCTGCTGTTGATGCTGCTGCTGTTGTTGCTGATATTGTTGCTGGTGTTGCTGTTGCTGCTGTTGTTACTGTTGCTGCTGTTAGTGCTGTTGTTGCTGCTGCTTTTGTTGCTGCTGTTGCTGCTGTTGCTGCTGTTGTTGCTGCTTTTGTTGCTGTTGCTGCTGTTGCTGCTGTTACTGCTGTTGTTGCTGTTGACATTGTTGTTGCTGCTGTTGTTGCTGCTACTGTTGTTTCTGTTGCTGTTGTCGCCGCTGCTGTTGCTGCTGCTGGTGGAATGACCGACAAAGGAAATACCGTACGATGCGATTAAAATAAAAAAAGAGAGCAGCGATTTGAAAAATGGGCATCAACGATGAGTCACCAGCGACAAATCTTGCGGGCCCCGCAGCCAGCCAGCCAGCCAGCTCTGCGTGACCGACTCATCCCTCCTGCGTGGGACACGCGTGGGAAGTTCACAGCGCGCTGCGCTACGAAGCTGGTGACCCGGAGTTTCGATTCGTGACCACGGCTATCTTGAAGCGGTCCAGGGGCACCCCCCCTCCCCCCAACCCGCACTCACCAGCGTGGTGAAGTATGGCCAAACACCTCCCATTCACTAACAGGGGATGCGGCGGCGTTCACCCAGCAGTCGGTTGACAACGGGCTGGAAAGTTGTCAATCTCTAGTTGATTTCATTTTTTTGTCGTCTGCAATAACCTCCCTCGTGTCGCTGACGCCGCGGGTTCGCTGACGTTCCACTTTTTTCACGGTGGCCCCATCATCAAGCAACGCGTTTGGCGGCGGCGGTGACCGCCGCGTTGGCAACGGTGCGCGGGAGCACACACCGCAATCGGCGGAACTAAAAGCCACCGTCGTTGGCTTGGCGTAGGACGAGAGCGACCCGAAATGATCAGGGCGCCGGCGTGTCGGACCCGCGAAGATGGACGTCAGCAGTCACAAGTCTCTCCCAACTCGTGTCCAACTCCCACCTCTTCTCCGCTGGCCTCCTGCAATTTGCCTTCGGTGAGCAGGAGGCAAATTTCCGTGAGAGAAATAAAAAAAACGTCGCCGACCGTGGTAAAAAAAAATATCCCCCGTATAGCCTTAACAGACTGTAGGGGCAAGTGCTGTTAGCGAGCACCTATGAAGGCCGGAACGGTACACGAACGAGGGGGTGGGTGGCCAGCACCACGCCCGACCGCCTTTGTCTCCCCAGTGACGATGTTTACACACCGCACCAGGTACTCATTTAAGGCTGAGTCGACCTAGGGGGAGGCCCAGGACCGGTTCAGATAATCGTCACTGGTGCTGGCCGTGAACGGGAATCGAACCCGGGTCGCCAGGTTCATAGCGCAGCGCGCTACCGCTACACTACCGCTCCCCATAGGACACACGCACTCACACACACACACGCACTCACACACACACTGGACACTTCCTGGCGGCTGCAAGTGCCCGCGTTGTAATTGAACTGGAGGCTCACGACCATGAAGGAGGACACCTGCGACATTTCCAGGGATGCTCGTGACGTGGCCAATCAATGCATGTGCATGTGTCACATGCATTGATGGGCCACATCCACTTGTCACCTTCAAGGTTTTAAAATGCCACGGACACAAAAGCAGCAACGAGGGTTTGCCACCTCAGGCGGTGGTTCGATTAGGAGGGAAATCTCTGGACCGCGCCTTAGGTAAAACTATAAAAATATATATTTACCAGGTCAGGCCCACTGAGCCATATAGATATCTATTTTTTAGAAACTACCTGACCACAAATGGTAGCTCAACGAAGTGGGCTTATCATCACGTGGTAATTTAAAGCAGCCAAATACTCTCAAGCACGCTTTGTTGATTTAATAAACCCGAAAGGACCTGGATAAACTTTAAAACTCCAAATATACAGATGTCGGTCAGGATTGAACCCACGACCTCTTGCACACCAGGCAAGGGTGATAACACCTCACCACCGCGGCACCCCTAACCAATAAACAATGACTCCTACAAATATATTTTGTCTCTTCACGTGAAAAAACCCAACCGTTTTTTTTTTTGACACAAACGATCGCACCCACGGCCCTCTGGGAGTCAAATCATTTTAAGCAGCGCTGATTCGAGAAAGCCTGACCGTGCTGATGAGACCGCTGTGTATCGAACACCGATCCGGAAGTTTTTGCTCGTGCTGAATCGACGCTGCTGACATGATGTACCCATGTGCGTTGAACTTTTTTCGCACCACCGCACGTCGACAAACCAGATGGCCTTGTGGCCCGATAGGTGATTGAATAAACACTTTCATATGTTTACATGGAGAGACGGATACATGAAGGATATGGATTGCCTGCTTGTTTGCTCAGTTGTTTTTGTTGCATTCTTCACAACGACTGCTAATGATAGCTCACTCTCTCTCTCTCTCTCTGTTTACTTTGGCAATCTTCACCACGCATTAACTTAACCTGCAACTCTCTCATTTCCAACATCCTTATCTCGCACTTAGCTTCTGGACAACAAAGCGCTTGGCTCGTGTGCGGCGTTCGTATCAGTGTGTGTATGTGTACGTTGCGGTGTGGGGAGCGGTGGCGCAGCGGTTAGCGCAACTCCACTCCGAACCCAGCGACCCCGAGTTCGATTCCCGCTCACGGCCAACACCAGTGACAATTATCTGAATCGGTCCTGGGCCTCCCCTAGGTCGACTCAGCCTCAAACGAGTACCTGGCGTGGTGTGTAAAACATCACCACCGGGAAGACAAAGGCGGCCGGTGGTGGTGTTGGCCAGCCACCCCCTCGTGAGCCGTGCCGGACTTCATAGGTGCTACTCGCTAACAGCACTTGCCCCAACAGTCTGTTACAGGCCACACGGGGAGATCTTTATCTTTGCACTTTGCAGTGCGCAGTATTACAGCCCCTTGTGTCACTCCGCTCTCTTTAATTCGCTTTAATAATGTGCAGCTCTTGAATCCCAGACTGAAATCCTGCCTTCATACACCAGCCACGTTCCACCGCACTACGAAACACGCAATAATCCTGCGTTCGTAACGAAACTAGGGCAGCGTGAGGCTGCCCCAGGGCGCACGGCACAGCCGCGGAGCGGTGGAGGAGAGGCCTACGGCAATCGGAGCATCTGAGATTTCACCCCAGGGAGAGAGCTGCGAGTTGTGGGAGCATCTACTCGCTGCTCGCGCGGGTTGTTGAGTGGGTGGCTGAGTGGGTGGGAAGTTTACTGACTGAGTGAATGGGTGAGTGGGAGGTTGACTGAGTGGGTTGCTGACGGAGTGAATGGGAAACCCCTGTGGAAAAAAAACACACGTGACCGAGCTGTGGGTAGGATCTAGCCGTTCGAGGACCGGTGGCTACTCAGCCACCAACTGAAGCACCTTGAACGCACCACCGGGCCAAGTCATCGTCTCGTAAGAAGGATGGGGGCGGGCGGATCGTGTGAGGCTATTTGGCCACACTTCACCGCGCTGGTTCTGTGTGGGTTGGTGAAGACGAAGCACAACACAGCAATGGAACTTTCGCACCTCCGGTTAGCACAGGTGGCCACGTCGCGGTGCGAACGAAGTTCAGCAAACGTGCGCTGCCCTTTCCTGCTCACAGCTCTTATAACACCTGTGTTTGTGCAAAGTGGTCACCCAACAAAAAAAAAACAATCCGGACTCAAAATCTTGATTAGCTCCCGAGATCTGATTGGTCCTTTGATTATATGTACATTTCAATGGGTTGATAAAACGCTGAGTAAAGGCAAAGTCAAAGATTCACAGGCTGTAGGGGCAAGTGCTATTAGTGAGCACTTACAACGGCCGGCAGAGCACACGAGGGCACGGTGGGTGGCCAGGACCACGCCCGACCGCCTTTGTCTCCACAGTGGCGGTGCTTACACACCGCACCAAGTAACTAATTTGAGGCCGAGTCGACCTAGGGGAGGCCCAGAGCCGGTTCAGATATTATAATCGTCGCCGGTGTTGGCCGCGAGCGGGAATCGAACTCGGTTCAAAGCCGGGTTCGTAGCGCAGCACGGCTACACCACCGCTCCCCGCACGAGGCCACGGGGCAATAGTTCACTCGGGCAACACAGGCATGAGACACGCGGAGCGCAGAGACGCAGACGAGGTTCTGGAGATACAAAGACGTGTCCAGATACACGCGGCGACAGGTGACATTGCGTGGCAATTCGTACCGTGACTCAGGAAACCAAGGCACACGAAACACCACGCCATGTGTACGAGAATCCGCACGTGCCTGTCGGAGCCGAAAACGGTTACCGGTTACCCTACCAATAACACGCAGTGGAGACAACACAGAGAAAGGCACGGCGATGGGGAAACGCCGGAGGCACACACGGAGAGAGAATTCACCGGCACGCAGACCCAGCAAGCGGTGGGACGTTATCGAACTGTGCCAATCAGTGTCGTTCATCACTCAAATGCAACCGGAAACGGTTACCGGTTCGTGCCTCTCGGAGCCAAAACCCGACCACGAAAGCGGTTACCGGTTACCCGCCAACAACCACAGTGGAGAGGCAACACGCCTCCGCTTAGCACGGGGGGGGGTACATACGGTGCGAAAGAAGTTCATCACGCAATGCACGCACGCAACGCATGCAACGCATGCAACGCATGCAACGCAGAGAGAAACAGAGATGGGGGGTGGGTTGGGGGAACAAACCAAGATCGACAATGTATAACCACGCGGTGTAGGGCAGAGCAACCAAGGTAGGGGAGAACAACGTTGGACAAGCATTCGCCCAAATAGCAGTTCCAATCACCGGCCAACGTTGTTGGCAAGAATTGCTGGGGGCATACAGAAAACACACAAACACAAAGACGAGTCGTGACAACTAAGACGATGATGAGACCCACTCCGCCGTGTAGCCTTGAACACAGAGTGATGGCGCAAGCGGTGTGAAGGCGGGGAACGGCGCGACAAGTACTCACTCGCTCACCACCACAGGTAGCAGCAGCAGCAGCAGCGGCTGGAGCAGCAGCGGGAGCCGCCTTCCCCAACTACAGCCAGCGTCTTGCCCCCCTCTCCCCTCCTCGCTTCCGATGTCGATGCGATGGCGATTACCGCAGCGAGCGAGCGATCCGTTCGCTGTGCTCTGCTGCTGCTGCTGTGCGTGCGCGCGCGATCTTTGATGTCCGCGGATGTTCGTCGTCGTTGGAGAGACGAGTCGGAGAGACGAGACGATGCCTTTTGCGCTCTCACGACTCGCGACGGGAGCTGATGAACGCGCGCGCGCGCGCACCTTCAGCAACGCGGCATAGCGACCACGTCGCCGCGGTGAGAGAGAGAGAGAGTGGGGGAGAGAGAGAGAGAGGGGGGGGAAGTTTCTCGGAGAGAGCTGAAAGAGGAAGGGAGTGGGTGGAGAGAGTGGGAGGAGAGATGGTGGTGGTTTGGGGGGAGGGGGAGTTTTAAGATAAAGTGTGAGCGGTGAGTGTGAATGGCAGGCAGAGCAGCCGCCGAGGGTACGATTAATCGGGGGCGACCACCCCGGGCCCCGCGCTTTGGGGGGCCTCGTGCTTTAGACGTCACGGTGTCAGATGTAATAATTGTCACCCGAATGTGACGATTATCTGAACCGGTCCTGGGTCTCCCCAAGGACGACTCAGCCTCAAATGAGTACCTGATGCGGTGTGAACATCGCCACTGGCACGCCTCTTGTACGAGCGATGATGGATATTCCTCCGACTGTTGGGACGCAGTGACCACAGCGCAGCCCGAATCTTACATCGGGAGGTGGAGTCAACAATTGATCGAGTCGCACTGACATGCGGGGCTCGATGAACCGTCATGTGTGTACTTGCTTGCTCTTCTGAAACTACGCGGGCACATGAAGCCTTGCCAAGTCTCAAGACTGTGTTTTTTTTTTCTTTCAGGAAGTTGCTGCCAACTTTTTTTGTGGCACGTGTCATCCCAAATTGAGTCATTTGAGCATAGAATGGAATTTATCCAGCATTGGGATGTTTGCTAAAATCAGTTACATCGTTTGCTGGGTTTTTTGTTATTCAGTAAATACAATATTTTTTTTTACGATTACAGCGTTACAATTGAATTAAGGCATTCGCAACAAATGCTCTATGAGGGGGCTTAATTTCTTCAGGAAGTTGCGAGAGGAGGAGCTGGGAAATATATTTTCCGGAACTCAGGCCCGGACGGCTCCAGATCAGTAGGTGACTTGTCCAGTAGGTCAATGGAGCAGGCGAAGTTTGGAAATGATATAGGTCAAGGAGTCGTCATGAAGGTCAAGACGTGGGTTGGTCAAGGGAGACGTCAGTGGGTACGAATGTGCAATTCTATTGAGGGGCTGTGCGTCGGTGTGGTCTGGAGCTGTTGTTGTTGTTGTTGCTGTTGTTTTTCTGTCTTGCTCAAGCTTGGAAGTTGCTGAACTTATGCAATTTTAAACTGACATACTTTATTTTGCGTTTTTATTTTCAATCATTTGCTTTCATTGCCTATACATTGCACTCCGATCGTTGTTTTGCGTGTGTCTATTGATTGCTGTTGCAACTTTTATGACCCGCCCCAACTGTACATCTGTAAAAAAAAAAAGAGCTGCATAACCCCTCGTAATCTCCAAGATAAATAAAGATTCTGATTTTGCCGGTCTGCAGGCCTTCACGCAGTAGTGGATTGACCATTTGCTGCTGATAATGATCGCAGTTCAATGGTGCAGGTGTAGTGACATAGAATCAGCTCCGTAGCAGCACAGCGCTTGCTGCTGGCGGGGAAGGGCATCTGCAGCGCACGACAGCCCTGACCCACAGCAGGCCATGTGAAAGGTCACGGAAAGGTCACACCAAGAAATCCGCTAGAAGGTTCCAGAAGGTGGCGTGGTCGGGGGCGGAGCCAGCAGGCCACGTGACAGTATAAGAGGGGCCCCGGGAGGGGACCTCGGGGCTGTCGTGTGGAGTCTGATCCCCCTCGTGCTGCTGCTGGAGTCTTCATCTTCGGCTCCGTCTTCACCGTCTCGGCGTGGCCAGCGAGGCAGTCTACCCACTGTCCTGACTGGGAACCGTAGTCGACTATAGACGGATTATTTAAATATACGCTGCCAAGCTTGGTGGTGTTCATTCAGACGCTGTCTTTCCGACAGACCTGTTCTTCGCCTGAGGACGGCTGCTTGCGTTGTGGCCGAAACGTCGTGAGAATTGTATTTTATTATGTTTTATTCTTATTATTTTATTATTTCCCTTCTACGCGACTTTGCCGAAAGAACCAAGAAGATGAATCCCTGCAGTCACGAAAGCTTTAAATCGAAATTTATTTGGAAGTGTTAACCCGTTGGTGCGTGTTAATAAACAGAGTGCCTTCAACTCTCAGTGTGTCCGATTCAGTCACTACACGTGTATTCGTTCGTGCCAAGGCAGCAGTTGGTTGTTAGCGACAATCGAGGTTAATTATTACTGTGTGTGCATGACAATCCAGACCCAAGCCAGGAGATAAAGCGACTTACAAATACACTCACACGTGCCCACACGTAGATTTACACGTGCGCGCGCGCACACACACACACACCTTTACATGTATACACAAAGACAGAAACACAGACACACGCACGCATACGAATAACACAAAAATCAACACGTTCCTCAACACTGTGGCCTTAAAATTAACAAAAATACGTAGAAAAATCGGCGACGTTTTGAGCAATGGTCCTTCTTCATAGCACAATGATGTTAATCAATTCCAAAAAAAATCCTTCAGATAAACTGTGCTGGAAAACATATGTCTTGGGATGCGATCTGATTTTGCAATGGTGAGATGGATGTCACGGATGTCGTGGCGTGTCACGTGTGGGGAGCGGTGGTGTAGCGGTGAGCGCTACGCTGCGCTACGAACCCGGCGACTCGAGTTCTATTCGCGCTCACGGCCAACACCAGTGGCGATTATCGGAACCGGTCATGGGCCTTCCCTAGGTGGGCTCAGCGTCAAATTAATACCTGGTGCGGTGTGTAAAAGCATCGCCACTGGGGAGACAAAGGCGGTCGGGCGTGGTGCTGGCCACTCACCGCCTCGTGTGCCGCGCCGGCCTTCATAGGTGATCGCTAACAACTCTTGCCCCCACAGTTTGTTAAGGCTATACGGGGGATATTTGTCTTTGTGTACGAATCAAGTTACGTGTCGTCATCGTCAGGCAACGCAACTCCCTTGCAAACGAATCAACACAAATCCACAGAGACGATGCGGGCGAGATGGAGATGTTGCTCAACGTCGAAGCTGCCCCCACATACTTTTCCAAACGTCGGGCACCGTGCTTGGAGGAGTCACGGTGGCTAGGAGATGTTAACTCCCTCTCGCCTGGTACGCAAGGAGAACGTCGGTTCGATCCCGACCCTGACTCCTGTTGTATATTTGGAGTTTGCGGTGTCTCTCTCCCCGTGGTCGCGTGGGACGTTTTTTTTTTCTCCGGGTCATTCCGGGTTTTCCCCTTCACATATAGAATCAACATGCCGCGTTCGGAGCATTTGGCTGCAATGCATTTCCACGTGACGACAGGCGACTTCGTTGAGCTATCATTTGTGGCGAGGTCGCTTCTCAGAAATAGCCACAGCATATATATTGAGCTCGGTGGGCCTTACTTGGTAACATAAACATGATTAAATAAGAAAAATATAGTTGAGTTGTCCAATACAAACACAACATATCGCACGGAGACATGCAGCACAACTGCGAAAAACCTAGGACAGTCAGGCGAACTTACCTATCCATAAAACAGGTTTGTTTTGGGTTAGATCGCGTAAATACGTGGCGTGATGTTAAATACGCGATCTAAGCCAAACAAATCTAATCTAATAAATACGCGATCTAACCCAAACAAACCTGTATTATGGATGATATTGGTCACGAGTGCTGATTACGTGTTAAACAAACTTCCCCCGTTTGATTTCCTGAGTGGTCGATCATCACTGCTAGGGTGCCCCCCCCCCCCACCTTCTCGCCCCCTCCCCCTCACCCCACCCCTCCGGCTCCCCCCCTCCCACTCCCGGCTCCCCCCACCCACCCCCGGATCTCCTCCCCCACCCTCTCCGGCCACAAATGATTGCTCAACGAAGTGGCTTGTCGTCACGTGCAAATTCACAGCGGCCAAATACTCTAAACGCGCGACGTTGTGTGTCTAAATGTAGAGGGAGAAAACAAACCGAAGGATCCGGAGAAAAATCCACGCGACCAGGGGGAGAACACGCAAACTCCAAACACACAGGAGGCGTTAGGGTCAAGATCGAACCCACGACCTCCTGCATACCAGGCGAGGTAGTTAACATCTCCTAGTCACCGTGGTGATGATGAGAGAGAGATACGCAAACTCTAAATATACAGCAGGCATCGTCAGGGTCGGGATCGAGCCCACGACCTCCTGCATACCAGGCGAGGTAGTTAACATCTCCTAGTCACCGTGGTGATGATGAGAGAGAGACACGCAAACTCTAAATATACAGCAGGCATCGTCAGGGTCGGGATCGAGCCCACGACCTCCTGCATACCAGGCGAGGTAGTCAACATCTCCTAGTCACTGTGGCGATGATCAGAGACACGCAAACTCTAAATATACAGCAGGCATCGTCAGGGTTGGGATCGAGCCCACGACCTCCTGCATACCAGGCGAGGTAGTCAACATCTCCGAGCCACCGCGGCGCCCAATTTAGGGCGGCACATGCCTCCCCCGGGGCTCTACCGGTGACCCGCAAAATATTCAGTGAGGAAATGAATCCCTGCGTTGACTTGATCGTGGCAATTCAGGTGCGCAATGTGGGTTCACACACGTATTCTGACTCCTGGAACACTGGGAGAAAGCGTGACAAGTCACCCCCGACGATAGTGTTGGATGGAACAGGTCGAGGTACTACGTTGGAATGTTGAGTATTTGCCACGACCCGCCCGCCACGGCAGGCACATGCAAGCCTCATCCCCACTGCTTTTCGACAGAAGCAATTCTACCCGCCCGCCAACGAAGCGATCAATCAATTGCGTGTTGGTCTCATTCATATCTTCAACACCACAAATACAGGGCAACAGCTGGTGTCCCTGGGGTTGGTATAACAACCAATTGCAGAACGAGGGCAAGGATAAAGAGGGAGATAGAGAGGGGGGGGGGGAGTGAACGGAAGAGTTGTATTAAAGCGAAAGGAAAGGGAGTGTCAACCCAGCCGCTGCTTGTAATACAGGCCTCTCCACGCTCATGAGCGGGAGAGGGGGTGTTGAATTACACAACACGACCATAGCCAGAGCGAGTTGGCGGAGAACGGACCAGCTCCTCTGCATATTGTTTGGTTCCCTCGGTAAAGTCACGTAGATAGAAATAATAAA